ATATATATATATATATATATATATATATATATATATATATATATTGCCTCTAGCATTGCAACTTGTTTTAATATTCATTTTTGCACATATAACTTAATATTAATCCCAAAAACCCGTTCAAACATGTGCACTTGAAACAATTTTTTCAATAAAAATGCTGATTAAAAAAAAAAAGAAATTAGATCAATCTAGCAATAATTTATAGCATACCGCAGTGTTTTACATCTAAAAGAAATCAAATATCGTTGTGCAGTCCTCTCTAAATCTCTCCGCTAAAGCTTCTTTTAAAAGTAGAACACATTCAATCCTGACCGCTGAAGCATGCCAACTGTCACGCATCACCCCGTTAGCTTAACAAACGAACACCGCATGAAAAAGAATGACTTTTTTTTTTCCGGGAAATGAAATTTTCCGGGAAAATTTTTGGAAAGACTGCCATGACAAAAGTAGCAAAAAATCCCTCCCTCATTAGAATGCGAGGCGGTAATCATGTTTAATCATGCATGGTAATGAATATGTCCAAAGTAAAAACACATTTTGTCTCGACGCATACTTTTGATGATTTCCAACGGTTCTCAATCAGGTTTGAGAAGACGAATACCTGCCTGTTAGTGATAGAGCGATACATGTTGGCGTGCTTCGTCCTGGCGTGTAGAGAAACTTTCTGACGAACACTTAACCGAGTTACAATAACTGGCTTTTTTTGCTTCCTCTGCCCTTGCACTGGATCAGGGGGTGTTGCTTCCCTTGCCCTGCACTGGATCAGGGGGTGTTGCTTCCCTTGACCTTGCACTGGATTGGGGGTGTTGCTTCCCTTGCCCTTGCACTGGATCAGGGATGTTGCTTCCCTTACCCTTGCAATGAATCAGGGGTGTTTCTTCCCCTGCCCTTGCACTGGATCAAGGGTGTTGCTTCCCTTGCCATTGCACTGGATCAGGGGTGTTGCTTCCCTTGCCCTTGCACTGGATCAGGGGTCTTGCTTCCCTTGCCCTTGCAATGAATCGCAGCATGAGGCTCATTAAAACTAAAACTCAATCAAAATGATACCGTTAGAAGTTCTCCTTTAATTTCCCTTGCTGAGTAAAAAAAAAGTTTCTTTGTTCTGTCATTGCCTACTATTGAAAATGTTAAAGGTCTTTTCTCTTAGATCTGAGAGCATTTTAACTCTGGGATATCTATTCACGACTTTATTTAATGAGGATAATCAAATTAAAATAAATAAATATATATATATATATATATATATATTGTTCTTTTAATTTCTAATTTGAATAAATAAGACAACATTTCAAATTTAACCAAAGCCTCACTAGACAATCCTAACAAGTCCCTTAAGCAAAAGGAAAATTTTAAAGCTTCCCTGAGTAGTTCCCACAGGGCCTTGGGGTTGACACGGCCCACATTAAGAACCGCTTATTAGGACTTTAGGACTCTTTTCAAAACGAAATCAAAATTAAAATCTTTCCACGCATCTGGAAAATCTAAAGCATTGTTTCTCAAACTTCTTAATGCCACAACCCTCATGTTTCATTGAACCCCTAACCAAAACACTATTTCATTGCTGTTTAATAAATATGTGTTTTCCGATGGCCTTAGGAGACCTCTGTGCTAGGGTCGTTTGATCCCCCCCCCAGGAGGTCGTGACCAACAAGTTGAGAACCGCTAATCTAAGGGAACATCATATGTGGACGATACAGCTTGGCACCAGCAGCGTCAGAATTTTTCATTGTAATAATGATTCCGCCTATTGGATTCTTTTTTCCCGGGTTTTGAATTAGAAAAGTTGTCAACCAAGATTGACGTGTCCCATCCACCCGGAGTGCTGTTGGTCTTTTAGCCTAACTCCAGACTCAGTTTTTAACCACTCTCACACCCAGCAAACAAAGATTCATTTGTTTAACTGTCTAAACATGTCCGGAATCTTAAATTACACAGTAAATTTTTATAACAACCAAAAATAATCATTTTTATTATTTTGTTACTAAGTGCTACACAGAAATATAATTGAAAAACTGGCGATGGGTGCAATAAGTTTGAGAGCCAGCAATCTAAAACATTCATTCGAACGGTCAGTATAGGACTGGGCTGTCGAAGATGTCACGTAGTTGATGGACTTACAAGTGGTTTCCTTGATTGCATGTTACAATTGTGGTTTGTAAAATGTGAAGCAGATGATAAAGATGGCGTCTTTTATTGGCCTTTGTTTCGACGCCGTTTAACGCAAAGTGTATAAACTGTTCTTTCTTTCGTGCTTTCTTTTCTTTTTTCTATCTTTCTTTTTTCCTTTCTTTCTTTATATTTTTATTTATTTTTTCTTTCATTCTCACTCTTTCTTTCTCTTTCTTTCTATTTTTCTTTCTCTTTCTTTTACCATCTTTCTCTTTATTTCTCTTTCTTTCTCTTTCTTTCTCTTTATTTCTCTTTCTTTCTCTTTTTTTTTACTCTTTCTTTCTTTCGTTCATTCTCTTTTTCTACTGCTTTATCTTTCTTCCTTTCTCTTTCTTTCTTCTTCTTTCTCTTTTTTCTCTTTTTTTTTTTTTTTTTTTTTTTTTTTTTTTTTTTTTTTTTTTTTTTTTTTTTTTTGCTTTAGTAAGTTAAACAAAGATCAATCAAAATTGAAACAAATTAAAATCCTCAAAGTTTTTTTTTACATTTTGTGTAAATTAAACAAAAATAATTACACACCTTTTAAAAAGGAAGATTTCATAAAAATCTTTTTTAAAATATTATTTCAGGAATTGGGGGTCTGTGTACAAATTTGATAAAACATGCACAAAAGTGGCGCACTTTACAAGAATCACAATTAGTGTTACTCATACCACCATAGTTGGCAACCACATATTTCTGTCATGCTCCTGAACTATATAATATTCTAATGTCCCACACGATTTTACTCTTACACAGCAGATGTATTTCACGAACTATTTCAGAAAAACAAAAGAAAATATTATGCACCAAACGCACTTACGTTATTTTTACCAATCTCAATTAGCTCAGCTATCCAAAATTTTATATTGTGGAATCGGTATTATGATATTTTCTTTATCTTCCCCATTTAGTCCAAATGGAACCGGAAACGCATCGCCACCATTTGGTCCTGGGTCCCATTAGACCAAATACTATTTGGATGTCATTTGTGGTAGTTTATTTTAGTTAAACTGAAGAATTAGGTTTACAAACATATAGACCATTCAATTATCTTTCATTCGATACCAAATTTTAACTTAAAAACCCAACAATACTATTTTTCATATTTTTTAATAAACCCAACCTTTCACTTCTGATACCGGGTCCGAATAGTCACAGCAAAAAACTAATATTGTAAGAACAAAACATTTTTTTTTTTGAAAAATCCCAGCTTTCATAACTGCGCATGTTTATTGTTTTTGCGTAGAGTCATTTTTAACCATGTAAACGTCTTTCAGCAAACTATCAATGGAGTTGGCTGGTTCGATATCGAATGCAGAGAGACTGCGATCACCTCTCCCAGCACACTGCAACTAGCATAGTGACAGTGATACCTATATGCAATTTGTAAAATTTGCAATGATCCTCCAAGGCACGTGTATCAATATGGACAATTCATACCTACGGTTACCTTTAAGATGATTTAAGAAGAAATAAAATATATGATAAGATAAGTTAAGATAAGGTAAGATAAATAATATAGATCAGAGAAAAAAAAATGTATATAAGATTGATAAGATACGATAAGTCTTCTTTGATACAAATAAATGGAAATGCAATTTTCTTATTACATTGTGCATCGTCATTTTCAGCAAATGAAGAAATACATTTTTTTTAAAACCAAGACAACATTTTACAGCTATAACAATTTAAACACAAGACACCTTAAAGAATTTCTGTAGCGTAGAAATTAGAAATAAACATTAAATTTGAGTCATTGTTTTTAATGGGACATGAGACTCATCAATTCTATTTTAAAAAATAAATAAATAATAGTTTAAAAGAATGTTAAGGTTTTAAGTGTCCAATGTTCCATTTAATAAGAATACTTATCTTTACAATAATCTTCTTCACACAAAAACATTTCAAACTAGATAAGAAACCGTGCAAATCAACATCCCTAGCCATCGATATTTTTCTTTCGTCATTTTCCTTTGTTTTCTGAGCTCGTTTTCTAGTTCTTCATTCATTTTTTTTTCTTATTCCTCCCGTTCCATGATCATTTCTTATTCAATTTCATCAACTTATTTCCTTGCTCTATTTGAAGCTACTGCCTTCGTTTGTCAGCGTTCATGTTCTGTTTGATAAGCCATTCGTACTTTTCATTCCGTTTTTTTTTTTGACTCCTCCTTCAACAATCTGTCGGTCTTCCTTGCTTTCTTTTTCAATTTTTCCACAATCTTCATCTCATTGGCAATCAACGTTTGGATGTCTTCCATGGTCTCCAAAATGTTCTTAAGACAGCATGATCTTTTACCTTGTTTCACAATCATCTCATAATTTTCGTTGTCTGTTGCGACATACCTTTGAGGTTACGCATTATCTTTTTAGAGTCCAGTTCGCCTTGCATGCCTTCAATTCCTTTTAGTATCAAGTTGGTTTCCATCACGTTTTCCTCCTCAACGAAAGATGTTTCGGCTTCCACCAATAATTACTGATGAGTTACAAGGGATCCTTGACAGAGTTCATTGGTGTACCTCTTTTCTCTCCATCGTAAATTGTCCACCACTGTGATAAGGGCATTCAGCTGGGCATCTTGAGTGCTTGTGTCTTTAGTGCGATTGTCGAATAAGACGACCCTATTGCAGCATTCCTTGACAAGCTCCTTAAAATGTCCTTGTTGTTTGTTACACCAATCTTGAAAACCTTCCGACTCAACTTCCCAGTTAAAAAGGTCTCCACACGTGAGAACAAGAATACAAAAGTCCTTCACGAAGCTATCGCCAAAGATGTTTTTCAAAAAATCAATAACGTCTTGATCTTCATCAGTAAACCTTCCTCCATATCTGACCACCAGGATGAATGCGGGGTATCCCCGTGGGTTGATGGTGATGGCATCCTTCAAAGCATTCACCACACTATCGAAACTTTTCTCAGTCCAATGACATTTGTACTCCACGCCAGGACAATCGACGACCTTGATAATGTGACCATTGTATTCGCTCACTTCACAGGATACACGTCTTGTTACAGCGTCCAGGCCACTTTCACTGATGAAAGCTTTTCGTCTTAGGATAGTGTTTCCCAGGGCACTTTTCCCATTTCCGATTCCGCCGATCAAAAGTAGGTCTATGTCTTTAGATAAAGTCATCGTTGTATGACTGAAATGTAAAAGGTTACGTGACATGTCATTAATTTCCCAATTTTTTAATTTACTCGATGCATGAAAGACCAATTTTTTTTCTAGCACTTAAATCTTTCAATAAAAAATATTTTTTAGTCACATGTAATTACTATTTTTTTTTCTTTAAATGAATACAATTTAAAATAGCCAATCTTAAGCCCTGATGAGAAAACTAAAATAATGTGTAAAGCTTTAAAACTATAACACATCTTATAGTTATGACACCCTGAAAGTCGGATAGTAAGAAACTTCTTATAGTGGATTATTAATGAATAAATGTAGCTGAACTTTAACAAACACTCTGACACACACATACACACACACAAACACACACACATACACACATATATATATATATATATATATATATATATATATATATATATATATATATATTGCCTCTAGCATTGCAACTTGTTTTAATATTCATTTTTGCACATATAACTTAATATTAATCCCAAAAACCCGTTCAAACATGTGCACTTGAAACAATTTTTTCAATAAAAATGCTGATTAAAAAAAAAA